AAAAAAAATCTCACTAACTGGAAACGATACTATATTCGAATGCGGCACATCAAATACTCAATATGTGTGTCTACAGCGCACTTACAGCACCCCTAAGATAGATGATCTCTGAAGTATGGATGTGATGTTCGAGTTCAGTGTTCAAAAACCTTAGTCGTAACGTTTCTGGACCATCCATGCAGCAAGAAAAGCTAATACAGAAAAGCTAAAACAGGCCGAAAGCACTATGTGCTTTGGCCCATCAATTTGTCAAAAATTCAGAAATTAGGGTTGAGAGTGTGAGAACTCGAAAGTGAAGGTTCGTCTTAAGATCGCTTCAAGTGCAAGTGTTTTGACTGTGGAACGTAGCGTCATTATTTTCTTATTAACTAATTCATTTTCCATAGCACATACTCTCACCATTACTAATGATCAAGGTGAGAGCATTCATGCATGCGTTTGAGACAACGGCGGCTGTTCCACTCAATCAAATTAGTTTTAACATATAACGCAAAAACAGCCCCGTCTTCTTATTTGACTCCAACTATATATGATATCAGTCTGATCACCTTTTCCCATCAATGAGATAGTGAAATTTGTCCCTACACTCATCTCCAACAAATCGCTAGCTATCCACCAAAATAACTATCGAGTGAAGAAAATGATATACAGCAGATCTTGAAATCACCTGTTCTAGCTGAATTCGAAGCTGCGCCAACTCTTCCGGTTTAAATTTGATAGGCTCCCCTAAAATGCAAAAGTAAAGAAAAGAAACTCTAGTACTAGCATTAGGTGCATAAAAACATAGCATTTGAATGATCTATTTGAGGGCCTACCGCTAATAAGGCTGCAAGAGAAGGAACCATCAGGTGGAGGCTCATCCACAGGAAGTGGTGCCTGAAAACAAGCAGCGGATCGACACGTATGCCTGGATCAGGAAACCACACACATTCTTTGCATCTGTTGATCTCTTCGGATCGGATCTTCCATCCGATCTATTCCTCTTTGACCGTTTCTTTTTAGGTGACTGTGTTTTGAGTGGAATCAGCTCTGGGCGAATCGTTTCCACATCGTCGCCGATAAGATCCAAGAACAGTCCTTCCACTTCTCGCACTAAAAATGCGAGATTACAATGAACAGGATTTAAATAGAATGGAAAGAACATCTTGAGAATTTTACAACGTAGATGAGAAAAGTCACTTATGAAAAATTTCGAAGAGACCCACTAGGAATTTCTGTGAATTTGTCCATTCGAAGTTCGTCTTTATCCTTCTCGAACTCTTTGAGCTTATCCAGCTCCGTCAACACATTGTATTCTTCGTCATCAGGATCATCTTCGTCTACAGTCACATTCTCAGCTTCTGAACATATTAATAAAAAATTACAGAAGCATAGAAGAAAAAATTCTCTACCATGCTGGCAGAATTATAGAAATCACAGGAGGAATGTTCTCTCCCAAAGATTCAAAAAGATGCAGTGAAACCGCAACCATGGTATCCACAAAGCGGTGTTAGTCTTAAATGGATTTTCCAAATTTACCTTGGGCGGGTGTCGAGGACTGGATTCCTTGAAGAAAGCTCAGATAGTCAGGATTCTCCACAAAAGTTAGCATCTGAAAAAACTCTTCCATAAAATGGCAAAATAATGAACGCCTTCACCTCTTGTCCATGGTAGTCAGTAAAAGTATCAAAACTGTCATGCAAGAAGCCGCCGTCTAGAGATTCAAACTCCAGATTTTCTTCGATGTGTGGTACGCGAGATCGAAGTTGATAGGGCGACAACTCGGCATCTTGGTTAGCACCTTCGGAAATCTATGAGAAAATGTTTCTTGTGGTGAGCAATCAACACAAATGTAACTAGCGAAATGAGAATTATGCATCTTACCATTAAAGTACCATCAACTACATCATTAGTTTCTTCAACGTTTTCTGTAGTTGCCTTGTTTTGACCCTCAACTTGCTCAGGATCAACTGTGAGAGTATCATTCCCTTCTTCTTCCTCTTCACTTTCATCACTCTACAAAATTCAAGCAAATTTTTTTCTAGATAGTCTTAACAATGACAATTACAATTTGACTGAACAAAGCAAAGATGTATCAAAGTGCAACAACATTAGGTTCAAGATTATTTGACAAAAATGCATGAAATCGGATATATACCTGAACTTCCTCGGGCCTGTAGTCTTCATCCTCGTCTTCATTTTCAAACTGCACATCAAGAAATGTAAGTGGAGGCTGGACCGGCTTCAGTTCGACCTAATACCATATGATTTAAAGTAATGCTGAAACATCTATTTGTAAACTGCAACCTTGGCTACTTCCGAAGAAGAATGCTTGACTTTTGATCGAGTCACTTTCAAGGTTGGAATATCATCTGAATCACCTTTGATACCCATCAATGCAGACAGTACATGTGGATCACGTATAAGCCTCTAAAATAAGTTTTCGTCTAAAGAAAAAAGAAAAAAGGTAGCAGGAGAGGACTCTCACATGAAGAATGGATTTGACGTTTAAGGCGTTCAAGTTATGCATTTTTGCTTTCTCTTCAAGCTGCGTATCCAATCGCCGGCATAGATCGACAATGTCTTCCTCGCCCTCGGCATCGACTTCATTAGATGCCAATGGTAATTCAGATTCCGATTTCGAGGTCTCGCTCGATCCGCTAGAAGTCATATATAAGGAAGCAACAGGAAGAGAGTATGTGAAAATTTCAAGAAAAAATGCAGAAATAGATGTTATTAAAGCCAAATTATCACTAAGAACCTGTTCGCAAATATTTTGTGAAACTTACATTCCTTTGCTAGTTGAAGGTTGATCTGAACATTCGTTCCCTTTAGACTGGTTAGAACGACAAGACGTTTCCTCGGACATACTAAGTGAAGTAAGGAGCGCTATAAATGAGTATTTCCAAAATCGGCTGTGGCATGAAAGGATGTCACGACTTATAGGGAACAAGGAAATTTGAAAGGGTACAATTCGATGTGAACTTCCTCACACTCAGACTTGTCTTATAATTCTATCAATACGTATAGTCGCATAACTGCGGAAAAATTATTGACTAACGTAAAAAGGGAGTTCAAATAAGGTCCAGTAAATGGCAGCCCAGCCAACGGCCTGACCGCAACACGCCGGCCTTGCGTCGCGATCTTTCTCTGCATAGCACACATTCCTAGAAGCCATGCTTAGAACGAGCTGCAGACGCATTTTTCCGTTGTTACGCAAGGTTTCTTAGTATTTCTACAGTACATCTTCATATTTTGGTTTTTCCTTGCGAATTCTTATCCTCCGTTTAACGTTACATTGTTGTCTACTATTCTACTGGTAGTTCCATATGTAAGTTTTTTTTTCCCTCAAGCAAGTCTATTTTTACATATGCTTTAAGTTCAATGCTATATTCATATTTTTTTCAACGCATGAACCTATGCCAACATTTTGGATTTTTCCTATGATTTTATGTATTCAAAGCCTTTCGTTAGCTGCGAAATGTATTCACGTGCTTGTTTTTACAAGTATTCATTCTTTCGGCTTGATAAGATGATCACAAAGGCGCACTCTCTTTTTTGCAAAAAAAGGTCCCTATCTTCGAAAGCATTTGTATGCTCACTTACGTGAGGTACATGCTTGCTCTGAAGATGTGGTCGCAGAAGGGAAAATGCAGTGAAGAGTGCAAAAAATCATGGAAAAGAGCTGAAGTGTGACATCTGAGACAATACCTAGTTCACTCCAGATGGTCTGAGGAAACACCAGAAAGTGCACGATTACTTTGTATAATTTTGTACCAGTACCTTTTCTAGCTTTTTACATGACAACTCTAGAATAAGCATGAGAATGCGTCACCCGTCGACATTAAAAACTGACCCATTTGATACCCTGTGACATATCCAAGATGTCCTGATGCTTTTCACTGCATCTTAAAGCTATCGAAACATTGCAAAGCTTGGGCTCATTTATTGCACATTTAGGGTGCAGAACCAGTGTAATATTTGTGAAAAGGGACACTGAGAGTTTGAGGAGTGTGATTTATATTATTTGTTGTAATCTGTTATTGCTTTTATTCCTCCATTTATGCCCAATCACTCTTTATCCTTCAATTCACAGATTTTCACATTATCTCAGACTTATATATATATATATATATATATATATATATATA